GGTCTGTTTTAAATACTCTCCTGCTTTCCCTCTAGATCTTTGGATTTGGGTCAAATCTAAGTTTGGTTTTATCTCTTTGGTCTCCTAGATCGTGTTCTGGCACAGGCAAGTAGGTGGAAAGAAGCAGCAATGGAATTGTCAAACTGGCACTGTGGCCAGGAAGAAAACTGCCCACTGAATTATGCATTGGGCAAGGCACATCTGGATGTGCTGAGGCAAACATCTCCTTCCTGCTAAGTACTGCTGTGCTTTAGTTGAAGGGACTTGATGTAACTGAAACCACTTTTTTCTTGTGTGTGTTTTCCCTGTGAATTCCTGGACTGTCTTTTGTTTAGTAGGCTGAACCACAAACAAATCAGCTATAGAGTGGTTTAGTTCTTGCTTTCCCCTCTCCTCACAAATACCTTTGTGGTTAAAAAATGTTGGCAGGAGTGGAGTTCTTGCTTCTGAGCTTGAAGCAAAGGGATATCGTGGTGCTATCTCCCTCCTTCTTTAGCATGAAATCAAAGATGCACATTTTTGAGCGTTATTAAAAGCAGCAGTAAAAGCCCTTGCAGTTTGGCAAAAATTACATATGACTTGTTGACACAGGCCCCAGGCAGCGAGGTTCTTGATGTTGTGAATTGCTTCAATACCAAAACTTAATTTTTTGTTAACTTTTTTCAACTATGATCTTCTTTTGGTAAAGATAAATTTGTTGTTGGCAAAAGTGACTTTTCCACGTGTGTACCAAAAATGCAGGTTTTGGGGAGACTTAATTGGAGACTTGGTAAAAGATACTATATAAGAATACCATTGTAGTTCTTAAGGATTCATATAATGGATGTGTAGCTACCTGTGTCCCAAGAATTTCATCCTCATTCAAATACCAGCATGTTTATGAGCCTTATACACAGACCAATGGATAGTGCCTTCTTTGGGTGTACATATTATTTGATATTCATGTGTGTATAACGTCGCCTTTGAAAAGGCTGTCCCCTCCTGGAGTATTTTTACCTGAGCTGTGGTAGTAGTTTTCTGCTCAGTGCTTACTTGGAGTCTATTGGAGTGCTGTAGTTCCTGCTGAGGCAAAAGTTGCCAGCCTGTCCAGAGATGGATATGTTCGCCAGGCCATGCTGGTGTCCTCTAGGAAAAAGCCCTACTTGTCAGTGGTGTGCATATTCAGGAAGTGAATATGATGAATTTACAGAGTGGCGTAGTGACATTTAGAGGCTTTTCTTTTTTCTAATGATGAACAATTTGTCTTTCTGACTTGTTTTAATGCACCCCATTCAGGTTTTTGTGAGATTCCTGTGTGTGATAAAATAAAGTGTGCGGTTAGAGACTCTAAATTACTGGCAATTGTTTTATCTCATGCCTGACCTTATTTGTCTCACTATTATTTTTGAGTTTATCAGCAGTGGTTCTTTTGCAGTTTTATCATGTAGTCACTAAAGCAGAATACAGAGGCAGTGTTTGTTAAATATCTTCTGTTCTTGTCTGCTTGTTCCTGCTCACCTCTCTGCTGAATCTGCTTGGGTCACGTAAACCCAAGCACTGATGCGGCCTGTCTTATCAGGGGAAGGGGATTACTATTTTAGAGTTTAGCATGTAGTTCATTGATCTGGCTTATGGCACAGAGTTGGTGGAGAAGATGGGAGAAAGCCCGTGCAGTAACTTCTCACAGTGGCTGTAGTGGAACTGCTTGGGAGGCAGCAAATAGCAATTGCTTTCTGTTTGAGTGGGGAAGCTATCTGAAAGTTTCCCTCTTTTTCTTACAGGTGAACAAGAACTTTGCAATTGATTTGATAGCAGAGCAGCCTGTGAGTGAAGTTGAAAGCAGAGTGATATCATGTGATGGTGGTGGTGGAGCTTTGGGACATCCTAAAGTATACATCAACTTGGTAATATCGTTATTCTACCTATAGCATATTTTGCTTGTAAATTGTTTGTAAGATTATCTACTTTTTGTCATGTTAGTTTAACCAAGTAAAAGTTTAACCAAGTAAAAGGAGTAACCACTTGAAGTGCTCATTTTATTTGTTGCCTAATATAAAATAGGAAGAATTAGAAGGCTCTTATTTGAAGTCACAGAAATTTCTTTTTGAAATTTTGGTTAATAGGACAATATTTTTTAAAAAAAGAAATTAGGTGAAGTAGTAAGAACAAGCAGTGCCTTGAGACCAAAGAAAAATATTCTTGCTGTGTTTTGAGATTCTAATTATTTAAATGCCACCATGTAGACTGACAATGCATTTGCAGTATTCTTAGGAATATGCAGTTTATTTTGAATTTTGAGAGTTTAAGGGGAAAAAAAGAGAAAACCAACCAAATAAACTCCTCTTTCAGCCTTTGGGAATCTTGGTAGTTTTGAAGGTTGAATGTTTCAATCATAGACAGAGAGTCAATGAAAAATAATTGTTGTATTATCCTCCTATTGACTGTAGTGATTATTTCCAGTGTATTCTTGTTCTAGAGAGTAAAAATATTGAGGCTACTGTTATATGACCTTAGTGGAATCAGCAATGATGACCTGTTTCTTAAGTACTGTTCTCAGGCAGACCCTGATTGCAGATGTCTTAAAATCTCTGCTTGCTTTGACATTTGCTTATTGCCCAAAAGAGTGATAGGGGAGAGCTGGTGTCCTTTAGTGTTGTTGTGACTCGTAACTATAACCACAAGCAATTCTATTTTGAAAAAAGAACTTTGTAATCATTCATTTGACATTATTCAAAGTCAAATGCTGGGAGGTTCTGATTCATAACACTTAGGAAGATTCAGCCTTAACTTGTGAAATGTTCTCCTGCCTTAACTTGTGTATTACACTAATGTTGAGTTGCATTTATGTTGATTTGTTTGACCTGTACCACACTTCTTGAAGAATGCTTTAGTTTGTTGTGAATTTTGAGGTCTTTTTTGTGTTAATAATCAAATTACAAAATGTCTGATTTAGATCTTGAAAGCTAAAGTCTGCAAACAGAGAGAATGGTATTAGATCAGCTTGTTTCCCCTACTCCTAGGGGAATTTCCTACTGAAATCTAGGCTTTTGAGCATGGAGGGTAGTTTGGATTATTGGCTTTGAATCTTCTAATAAGTAATAATAATGAATCTTGTAATTGACTGCAAGTAGTTATGTTGCTAAATAACAGAAGATTCCTGAGTATTTAACTGTCTTGTATTGTATCTTTTGTAGAAAATAATAAAATTTTATACAGCAGTAACTACTCCTTTTCTCTAAAATATTTTCTTTCAGCATTTCTCATGGATTCCTACTGAAATTTCCTCCTTCCTGTAGCGAACAATAACTCTATTACTGACCAAAATTCCTGTCTTGGAAATGCCAAATCCTATTCTGTATTAAAATAATTATAAAGTTATCTTTTCAAAACATTGAAACAGATATAACTGAACTAGCTTAAGGTGTCCAGTTTGGAAAGAGAATCCTTTATTGCTGAAGAGGTATCACTTGGCTTGACTTCGAAATTATATTGTCAAAATTAGGCCTGGTAGTTGAAAGTGTGGCAGAAGGGGAGCTGCATAGGATATAGAAATAAAGCATGAACCTCATACCATCATTTTTTCTTCCAGTGTTTCAAATAAGATTAAACTCAGTACTTCAGCTATACTGATCAGTTTTAAGATAGCACAAATAAATAAAAGAAAAATTGTAATTTCTAAAAGTTTTATAAAGTGAAAATAGCAGCTGTTTTATTTTTATATTTTTGCAGGACAAAGATACAAAGACCGGAACATGTGGCTACTGTGGACTTCAGTTTAAACAGAAACATCACTGAAAGATTATCCCTGCATGATTGCCGATTTCTGTTCAGATGTTAATGTTCAACTATAAATAAACAATATATTTAGAAAGCCAAGATTAGCATTTGTGTTTATCTTAGCTATGGAAAGTCCAGTCTGTACCTTTTTAAAACCCAGGCTTGTCAAGTATTCCAGAACTGAATGGTATTACAGTATCTGCTTTGTACTTAATTTGGTCTTTGTGTTTGGCAGACTTCTTGCAGGCTTGGAAGTGGTGTTTAGCTGCAGCATAGGTTTGGTTTGTACTGGGTAGATATGTATTCTTTGCAATAGTGAATTGGATGTAACCGTTTACTAGGTGATTAATTATCATAGGTGTTTGTCTTTTGGCATTGTGTGAACTGTAGTGGGTTGACCTTGGCTGGATGCCAGGCACCCACCAAAGCTTCTCTATCACTCCCCTCCACAAGTGGACAGGGGAGAGAAAATATAACCAAGAGTTCATGGTTCAAGATAAGGTTTGGGAGAGATCACTCACCAAATACCATCAAGGGCAAAACAGACTCGATTGGGGATATTAATTGAATTTATTGCTAACAAAATCAGAGCAGAATAATGAGAAGTAAAATAAATCTTGAAAACACCTTTTCCCCCACCCCTCCCTCCTTCCCAAGCTCTATGTCCTCCTCCATTGTGGCACAGGGAGATGGGGAATTGGGCTGTGGTCAGTTCATCAAAGGTTATTCCTGGCACTGCTCAGGGAGAAGAGTCCCCTGCTTCAGCGTGGGGTGCCTCCCATGGGAGACAGTCCTCCATGAACTTCTCCAGTGTGAGTCTATCCTACAGGCAACAGTTCTCCATAAACAGCTTCAATGTGGGTCACTACCATGGGGTGCAGTCCTTCAGGCACAGGCTGCTCCAATGTGGGTCCCCCAGAGGGTCACAAGTCCCACCAGTAAACCTGCTCCAGTGTGGGCTCCTCTCTCCATGGGTCTGGAGGTCTCTGCCAGGACCTTGCTCCAGCATGGGTTTCCCATGGGTTCACAGCCCTCTCTCAGGCATCCACCTGCTCTGGCGTGGGTCTCCTCCACAGGCTGCAAGTGGATCTCTGCACCCCTGTACACCTCCATGGGTACGGCTGCCTCACCATGGTCTGCACCACAAGCTGCAGGGGAATCTCAGCTGTGGCACCTGGAGCACCTTCTCCCCTTCCTCCTCCACTGATCTTGATGTCTGCAGAGCTGTTCCTCTCAATCTGCTGTTTGGCCACAGTTACATCTGCACAATAACTTTTTTTTTCCCTTCTTAAATATGTTATCACAGAGGCACTACCACCATTTCTGATTCGTTCAGCCTTGGCTAGCAGCATATCCATCTTGGAGCTGGCTGGCATCGGCTCTATCAGACATGGAGGAAGCTTCTAGCAGCTTCTCACAGAAGCCACCCCTGTAGCCCCATCCTCTCTACCAAAACCTGGCCATGCAAACCCAGTACAGTGACACTCTTTTAATTTGTTTGTGGCCTAGTAGCTATAGCTAGATTCACAAATGGAAGTGCAAAGATCCTATCTTCAGCATTACAACACGCACTCCTGGAAGCAAGATTGTCATCCCTGAATTAAATAGTTGCACTTGCTACTTGTTTAAAAGAAACCACCAGTGCCTAGAATGGTAATCAGTGTGAGCTGGAGAATTAGCAAAGCTGGCGCATGTGAAGGTGAGGACATAAGCATTTGCCCTTTAGCTGAGAGGATGAAGGTGTATCTGATTCTGCTTGGGATTTACACCCTTGCAACCTCTTTAGGAACTGGGTCTTGTCAAACTCAAAGTAGGCATTGGTCCATTACAGGTAGCAATTTATGCTCCTTTAATACAGATAAACTGACACTGAGAGCATCCACCTATGGGTAACACCACCCAGGCTGTGTAAGGCTGGTTGTGGGATATCATTTACCTACTTGCTTAATTTCACTTGGATAGTATTCCATCATGTAAACATGACTTTCAAACAAGGCCTCTACCTGAAGAGTCCAAGTTTTGTTTGGTCTTTGCTCCAGAGACCACTTTAATCTGTTGTGAGTAAATTACTTGTCTTTTAAATGCTGATGATGGAACATGGTCCCACATAGTAATTGTGGCTTGGCTAAAGTTTAACAGGCCAGGATTCTAAACATGCTGTTCATATCACTGTAGTTAAATTCGTGTGGTAGTATCAAGTTGAGGCATGTGGGCCTAAAGTTGTTTAACTTGCTTATGTCAATTTATAGATGAAGTTGAACCAATTCAGACTTAAAGCTTAAAGCAAGGTCTGAACTATTCTGTCTGTAGAAGTCATGTGTTTGGAGGCTATATTGCATGTGAGTAATTGCACGGACACCCTTCCTCTTTTTTCATTCACTCCACCTACAAGAGCTTAACCTCCCTTTCTGTCTCTTCCCCTTCTTCCTCCTTTCTTCTGTTTTTCACCTTTCCATTGCTGCTGATTTCAGTGATCATCTCTCTGGCCTTCAATTCGTACTTTGTAATGACCTAGATTTAGGAAGTAATAGAGTTATGCATTGTAATGCCTTGCTATGCAGTGTAGATTACTGAGCACTGACCTTTCTATAAGACCTGGGTCTGTTATGATGGTTATAATTTTGTGATGTTAGTGCAGTGGCTAAGTTAATGTCTGTTATATTTTGAGTAGCACCTGAGCATGTACAAAGATGGCAAAGGATCGTTCTATGAAACCCAGTAACTTGCATTCAGCCTATCTGACCTTATGCAAATTATCTGTCAACTGAGCATAAATATGATGTTATGAATGGTCTTCTGATATGTCCATCTCATGCTCTAAATATAAAATAATTACTTGGAGTAGCCTTGTCTGTTTTTAAGCATAAATCTGGTTGTATTTTAGTCTGGCTCTCTACCAGTTTATAGAACATCTTGGCTTGCAGAGTTCTCTCATGGTGCAGTCATCTCTGCAAAGAGACCTGAAACAAGTAATTTTATGTGGTCCTCTTCCTTGGATCTTTGATGTTCTTATGAATAATATATCTACTTGGATCATTGCTGCTCATAATAAATTAACAATGTTTAAATTGGCATGGCATCTGCTGAGGACCCAGACAAATCCCATCCCACTGGTCTGAACTATGGAATGCTGTTCTTGGATGTTCTCCCTAAAGTACTTGTGGTATGTGAAGCTGTTGACACCAGTGATACAAAGAAGGTCCAGTGATCTTCATAGGAAGACTTTAGATTTTGCTTCTTATAATTTTCTGTGGGCTAAGTTCATGTACCTACTTGGGAATAGCTGTTTATATGAAGTCTGGCACTTTCAGCTACACCATCCACATACCTATGGAAAAACCAACCTTGATTTGCAGGAAAAAGGAGTAGGTAAAAGCAGAAACCTTTATTGTTGTTACCACAAGCAGCTGCACATGGAAATGGATCTATGAGGACAGACTAACACATCAGTATCAAAGTAAGATAGACTAAACCAGATAAGTAGCAAAGCAGCATTACAGTTCTCAGGCCACAAATTCAGACTTGAAACCAGTGTGAAATAAAACTTTCAGACTTAGATTCTATCAGTCGCTGTTTTGTTCCTCATAGATAATTCATCCCAGGCTGAAACTATAGTCTCTTGGAGTACAAACCATAGTTCACACTCTGTCACTATGAAAATGTGAAGTATTCTACACTTATATGTAGACTGTCTTAAAAACTTTATCTTGCCTTTACCTAGTAAAACCAGATAGACTTTCTTCCCCTTACTGCTGCATACATTAAGCTTCATGAAAATCACTATGTGTTTATACTTCCAGAATAAATAAGGATCATCCATCCTTTCTCACATTACTTGTTAAGTCTGTCATCTGAGTAAAAAGTAACTAAAATGAATTCACAAGGCAAGTTCTGTTTGTTCACAACAGCACAAATCATTACTATGACTATGGCACAATATGCAAAGGCACCTTTTCTAAAACTTTTCAGTCGTATGGCGTCTGATTGTGCTCTGGAAGTTGATCTTATAACAGACTTCTCCAAATCAGGAAGTAGCATCTCTGAACTTCTTACTCTCTGACCTACCAGTAATACTTGCCCTTTTTAATTAATGGTCTTGGAAGTATCAGACAAAATACAGCATACTGTAAATAGCAATAGAAATGTTTGGTTCTGTAATATCCACGTTGTTGGCATTGTATAGTGTGTTCCCTGTCAGTGGTATACATTGTTTTGAGAGGCAATGCAATCTTTCCATGGTGGTTTCCAACTGTGTAATCTAAGTTTAAAGCCAGGAATCCTTGAGAAGCACATCTGACAAATTCAATCTTGCCAATGGAATATATAGATTGGGGGAAAATGACCCTGAATTCACCTTGTCATAAAATTTGTGGCACAAATTATCATGAGTTTTCCTCTCCAGGTCTCCATCAGGACTTGTGTAACTAGGGGAAAATGGCAGTTTCAGTTTTCATTATCGGAGGCAATACAGTAGACCAAAAAAAGTAGAATTACCTACATAACAGGTATTGTTGCTGTAAATGCCACTGTGATGCAGATGATCATCTTTTCACATGCTTTTATTTTTGTCAAGCACTGTCCAATTTTAACAGCAACAAGATATGCCTTGAAGACCTTGCATGCCCATGCCTTCAGTCCATGCTTTCCAGATCCCAAAGTATTTTCTGCTGACTAATTGCAGTGGAGGGGTTTAAATGGAACGTAATTATCAGTTTTTTCATGTACAAAGCAGCTCATGGAGCTCAGGTATGTTTGAGATATGGTGAATTTAACTAACATTACAGGAACTTATTTTCTACACATGGAAGTTAGGCAGTCATTATTGATTATTCCAGATTCACATTGCTATCCATCACCATCCCACAGTATTCAGGTGTCAAAAGTTGAACTGAGAAAGCAAATACTGCCATGTGAAAGAACAGATCATGGAATTGCTACAGAGGAACCAGGAATGTAATCTGTGCAATATGGGAAGGATGTGATGGAGCACTGGAAACATTGCCTTAAAAGCATCTCTCATTTATTTAAAGGGTCTGTTAGTGTCCCTTGGTGTGATACAAATGCTGTGAGAATATGCATCACGGCAGTTATCCATGCATATTCTGCTGAGACAACATCCTCCATAGGAAGTCTTCCCCATCAGCCTGCTGTGCACACATTTTTGTTGATGTACTGGCAACTGTATGCCAGGACAAATGCTATCAATGGCATTTTCTAGTGGAGATGTCATTTTAGTGAGCTCTAGAATTCAAGCAAAAAGGCAGTGTAAGCAGTGTGAATCCAGTCATGCAATGAAAATATATTTAAATAGCATGGAATTTATAAAACTAATTGCAGATTTGTAGGTGTTTTCCCACGTATTTTAAATGTTCAGCTTTGGATGTGTTTTATCCTCCACATTTTTTTAACTTTCCTCCTGTTTTCGTTCATGTCCTCTTCCATGTTTCTCCATTCCCTCTGCCCTCCCCACGCATTCCTTTATTAAGGACTAGGTTTTGACATAGCAATGGCTATCCTACAATAAAGCTGTCTTTTTGGGACAGTGCATAATGCTTATCTCCAGCTTCAGTAAAAGAGCACCTAACTCAAAACCCTGTTTCTTTCTGAAACTCTTACTTGGTCTAGAGCATAAGTTAAAGTGATCTACGTAGGCAGGCATTTGGCTAAATTTTCTCTTAATGTTGCATGGATTGAGAAATCTAGACTGCTTTTACTAGTCGTTAATTATTAAAACGGAATCCTTTTGTTTTGTACTAATTAAAAACATAGGAGAAAGATCTAAGGAAATTTGAGACTTTAGAGTTGCTATACTATATGGTAAAATAGTGCAGAAACTACTAATCACTTATTGGTTTTAATGGCAGGTTATTTCCATCTGTGTTAACTTTGTGTGAATATTGAAGTCACTGATTTAATTTGTAAGAATAACTTTCTAAGACTGGATTTTTTTTTCTCTATTAGGGATATAAAGAAGAGGGGGAAATTAGCATAGAAGCCTGGTGTAGTATATTTTCTTGGGACAGAATGGTTTGAGTTTGGTGTTTGGTTGGTTTCAGGGGTTTATTGTTGTTGGGGTTGGTTCTGTTTGCTTGTTGTTTTTTTCTTCTCCCAAAAGACATAATTAGGAACACATACATTAATTAAAGATTTTTCTGACCATATACATTCTTTTACTGAACTTTGATATGTGGAAGGAAAGAGTCAGTTTCAAGAAAATTTCGAGTAAATTGGATTTTGTTTCTAGGAAGGAATCATTGATTAAGGGAAAGAGAAAAGATGAATCTTTACCCTCCTCTTTAAATAGTCTGCAACTGGTAGCAGAGCTATGATTTAGTACCTAATTAGACTTAGGGAAGTATCTTAACCTTAAGATTAAGGAGATTACATTAAAAGATTACATCTTTTGGAGTGTGTTGTGCTCTATGGAAGCTTTCCCTTTTATGAAATATAAAACATGGTCCTTGGGCATCAGCTGCTGAAAGGAATTCTCAAATGTGTTTTAGATACTATAAATGGATTTACAAACAAATTGGGGTAACAGCAACTGTAACAAAAGTGCTCAAATGGTGCTATGAAACTATTATTAGCCCTAAGGATCTGTTCATTATCTGTAGTGAAAAAGGCAATGCTGTATTGGAGAATTCTGATGTGTACTGCAGATTCGGTGTTAACAGTCTGAAATCTTAACCTAACCTATTAATTTATGTCCTGAACTCTGACTTGAAATAGTAAAGATGGGGACTTTCTTTCAGTGCCTTTTGGTAAACAACTGTGAGATGTTGAGTTGGGTTGGGGTTTTTTGAGCGCTTTGCATGAGTAGTGAGACTGTACAAAAAATAACTTCTTAGTCAGCATATGAGTAAATAGGGAAAGCATATCAGGTAGGTGCTAAGGATAGACATCTTGATTAATAGAAAGTTGCTTTCAACTTTAAATTTTAAGAAAACAGAATGCCATTATCCCTTTTGTGTAATGAAGGCATACTGGAAGTACAGCACTGTTATTCAAGAATGGGATCTGCCTGACCTAATTGTTACCTGAGTGCCTGGATATAAAGGAGATTGGATATAGAAATAAAGATTGTCAGAGGGAAAAAGGTTTTCTTCCATAAACATATTCCACATTCCATGTGGCAAGGATTCCACTCCCAACAGATCATGTCCTTCTCTGAGGGTACAGGTGGAACGGGACCTGCTCCCAGTTCAGTTTGTTTCAACTCTGAAAAACAAGCTGAGTGACATGCAGAGGGGAGTGCAGGGACTGTGTGTGATTGTACCAGTGACTCATAACCATGAGGATCAGGAATGAGGCTATTGCCTGGCTACACGCAGGAGAGGTTTCTTACCTAATATTGTTAAATTATTAATTGATTTATAAACTTTCTTGACTTTATTTTGATTCCTGTTCCTTTTGCACAGGTATGTTTCTGGAGATTTAAAGTAATTGGATTCAGTGCCTATGAAGTGGATGTGGTAAAACCTAAGATTTTCAGATTTGGCAACTGAGTTTCCTAGATTTCTGGATCGGAGTTCAAGTTGGCTGTGTTTATACTTGAGGGGGATGTGTTGCTTGGTTTTTGGGAAGGAACAGTAAAGTATTTGAGCTGGATTTTTTTACTGCTAGCAGCCCTTGGCAGAAGGGTTGCTGACATTATCTGTACACATGCATCTTGCAATGTAATCCACAGTTCTTGTCTCCAGTGATGAACACTGGATGTCAAGCCAGAACACATGCTTGGGTTTATTTTTTTTGGCTTATGCTCCTCAGTGACCTTCCTATAACCAAATCAAAGAAGTATAGTGTAGGACGAAAGAATGGGACTAACGTTCAGCTGGGTATGCAATGATTTGTGGCTAGGGCTTTGGAGTTTGGAAACCCAAGTCCTATGGCTGAGAAGCAGCCCTGCAGGCCTGGTTCCTGAATCACAGCATCACCTACTGGTAGCATAGCCAGAAATAATGGTGATTTGTTTGTGTATAATAAAGCTGTGCCAGTAAAACGCTGTTCAACTTACTCGTAGAAGGCCTGAAAAAAAGGTCTGGAAAGTGAAATGGCTAATCTTCTACATCAGTTTGTTTGGGAGAGAGAAAGTTATTCTGAAGAATTACCAAAGGAGCACTTTAGACTGACTGGGCAACATCCTCCACCCCCACGAGCAACTGAAATGTGAAGTGTAGGTAGATGTAAAGTGTTGCATGTGAGCTTGGTTTCACCTATAACATTATGAATCTGAGCTATTATCAACTATTATCTGAGCTGGGTCAGGCAGGAGTGAGATTCTAGGATTATCATATTTCCATTAAAAAAAATCATCCTAAATCTCAGTAGCAGTCACAAAAATCAAGTCTATATTACAAATTTTTGTGAAAGGAATAGTGTGAGACAGAAAACATCTATGCTGCTGACTAATTTTTTGCCCACACCTTGTATTTTCCATACAGTTCTGATCCTCCTATTAAAAAAATGTTATATTAGAATGGGAAAAAGGTTAGAGAACAACAAACAAGATAAAGGTTTCTACAGAAGGAAGGACAGGTCAAGTAGTCTTGGACTCTCTTAGTCTGTTTAGGGTTATGATAGTGGTTTAAAAAGTCCTGAATATTAGGGAAAATGTGGATTGACTGTTTGAAAGGCCAAATCACTGATATTTGTAAAAGCCAGAAATTAATGATGAGCTGATACTTTTGGGGGTATTTGTTCAGGTTAAAAAAGAAAAGGGTTTTTTTCTTTGATTGTTTGTTTGTTTCTTTGTTTAAAAAAAGTGTATGTGCTTTATGGAAATTTTGCTGGTTGGTTTACAGCTAGGACTAAAAGAAGTCACGTGGGTTAAAAACTTATCCCCATGTTCAGTGGTCAACTAGTAGAGCTATAAAATTAAGTAATACATACATTGTAAACGATTGAAGGAAAATGAAAACAGAAGGGAAATAAGACCAATAGTAAGCATAACTAAGGCCAATATGAAGCACTGAATTACTTTAGAGTCAAGCAGATGTATTGGTCTAATGTGAGAGAGATGTGGTGAAATTGTTAAGTGATGTAAAAAGATAGGAAAATTAAAAGATGTATCTGTTATATTATGTAATTGTATAATAGGAAGTCGATGAAATAATTTCCAGTAATAGGCACTCAAGGGGTTGCTCTTTAATAGTGGTAAATTTAAACATTTTTAAATTGGCATGCCCAGATAATGAGTTTCAACATGGCTGTCCAATGAGCTTCCTGGATCATTAATGTTGATTTTTCTTGTAAGCTTTGAAATATTGGAAAAAGAGCACAAAAATGGCTAATGTGCCAACATTCAAAGAGGGTAAAAGGCATGACCTGGATAATTACATGTCTGTCAGCTTGACATCACTTCTGGGCAAAATAATAAGGGACCTAATTAATAATGAATTAAGGAAGTGTTGTATAATTAGTGCCAATCAACATGAGTTATAGGAAAGCCAGACCATGTCAAGCTAGCATGATGTATTTTTGATGAAATTAGAAGTAGTGGTCGATAAAGCTAAAAGTGTTAATGTAATATTCTCTGATTTCTGTGAAGATTAGAGTTACTAGTCCATATTTTGATTCAGAAAGTCTTGCGAAATTAAGCAGCAACACTTCACATATTTTATATGTATTAAAGGGTAGCTAATTCTTAGGTGTGAAAATGCCAGTGTAAAATGAGACTCACTGCTGAAAAGATGCATTCTTCTTGGACTCTTCATGGCATCCTTTCTCAGTCCTGTGGCACTTCTTATCAGTGTCCTATGTAATAGCTACTGATGGTTTGCTGAGGACTGAAAGATTGAGGCATTGTTAAGTAAGGTAGAGGATTCAGCAGTGATTCTATTCACTGTCACTTACCTAGCCAAGGCTGGCACAAAGCTAAATGTGTTTCAATGCAATGAACTGTACAGGAAAAATAAAATGCCGTCCATATTTATTGTAAAAAAAAATATTTCTGTGAAATGGTAACTATAACATCCTGAGTTGCAGTTTACTCTGTGTGAGTAGCAGCTTTAATAACTTCAGGTAACAGGAAATACTGACTCCTACATTTGACTGGGGGAGGTTATTGATCATCAGATCGATATGAGTTTCCAGTCCAATTCCATGTCTCAGATAAATTTTATGAACTTTGGAGAAATAAGTAGAGATGTATTCCACAGGCATATCTTTCTGAATTGGATATGAGTGTATTTGTTACTTGAATACTGTGTCCAGTTTGAGGTCTGTGGTTCTTTAATTAATATGGCTAAATTAGAGAAAGTTCAGAGACAGCCATGGCACTAATTACAAGAGTAGAAAACGTATTGTGTAGTGAAAGATCTAACAAGCTTCATCTTTGCACTTCCTCATAAATGAGGTTAAGGGATGACTTGGTCGGGGTCTACCAGTACAAATGCAGGGAACAAAACCTTGATAATGGGATCTTTAGTCTGGCTAAAAATCATGAGCTCTAGGGGCTGGAAGCTATAGACAAGCAGATTCAGAGCAGGGGAAAGGAGGCTTCACAGTGTGAGGGATTTACCAAGCATTGAAGTAAATTCTGCAGCATTCCTGACTCTATTTTTAAGGCTGGTACTTTCAAAAATGTGTATTAATTGAAACAAGACTGAAATCTGAAAACCATTATGGACTCTGTTACAAAGGTAATTATATCATTGCAGTGGTCCATTCTCAGTGTGTGAAATGGAATATGTATCAGGCCAGAGACAGTGTTCCATTGAACAATGGTGCTGTTAAAAATGCCTTCCAGACCTTTTTCTGAATAAGGCTCAGAAAGGACTTGAACTTTGTTTTCCCACAAAAAAATACTCTAGTAGTCTGAGTGATGAGGACTTGAACTCTGCTGTTGCAAAAGAATATTTGGCTCTGTAGCAATGTGAAAAAAGACCAAACCTCAAATCCTGACACTAATGATGATGAGGAATTGTCATCATCTGCTCAGTGTCTAACAAAGCCAGACAAACTAAAATTTTTTTAAAAATCAGTGCTTTGGGACACAGACAATTAGAGGACTTCAGATTTGTTCTCACTTTCTCATTTAAGAGAACATATGTGAAATCTGCACTGCCTTTTGGGATGAAAGCATAAAAGGATTGTTTCCATTCAAACTGAAGTCCCAGCTTCCAAAGGTTACTCTAATTTTATTTTTGTCAGTATTGCTTTTGTGGTGCTCTTGATGCTGTACCAGATTCTGGAATGAAGAGGCTTGTACCTTTCTAAGCTTTGCTTACCCTCTTAAATGCCACTCCTTATGCCAGTGGTTTCTCGCATTTTCCACAGCTTTGATGAAGTAGCTAGCATTCAGCATCTCCTGTGTTGGGTAATAGCATATTTCTTAAGAACAGGAATAAAGTGTTTATTGTTTTATCATTAAATGTCCAATGTTTATGCCAATTAGCATAAATTAGAAATCAGATTCAGACATATTTGGGGACCCTAAGGCTATATTAGGGGAACTTGTACGTATCAGTAAAACATCTGTCTTTATTAATGCTAAGGGCAATTGCAAGGATTTTTAAAATCTATTAAAAAAAACCAAAACCCCCCAACAAAAGTCCAAATAAACAAAAAAATCCCATCCCTAACAATAATCTTTGATAGTAGTTACATTAAAGAAATACAAACCCCAGGAATATTCAAAAGAGAGAAAATATTTAATAAATTATGTCCAGTGTAATTGGAAAACAGCTGATACTTACATTAAACAATGGTGAATTATCTTTTATTTCAACAGTAAATGGAAAGGGTGTTAGGTATATACTCCCAGTAAAGACCTTTAGACCTGTGGGACTGGATAACACTGAAAACAATTGGCTAAAGAGCTTTCACTACCACCTATATGGACAGATCAAACCTGAAACACAGATAAGCCTCCAGAAAACTACAAGAAAGTAAATATGGCAATATTTAAAGATGTTGTTGATGACAACATCTTGCTGCTCATTCTGGCTGTTTTCTTCTCTGTTAAAAGAGTAATTAGTGTCTGTTATTTTACCCCCATCAAGGATTTTATATACTGTACCCTATAACCTTTGTTTTCTTTTGCTAAGATGCACAGAACAAGGTTTTATCTTTTGTGACTCAACACTCAGCAATTTTTCAGCACATTAAAATATTGTTAGCTACAGTGGATATGATAACTTAGCATTGAGCACAATGATGCTGCATGCAGAAATAAAATAGTGGGAAGGGAATCCCCTTTTTATGCAAGGGAACACATTCACCTGCTTGGATAGCATAGTGCTGGAAGCTTATGCAGACTTGGTTGTCCGCTATGCCCTCTAGATCCTTACTCATTGCATTTCCTAAGCTACAAATTTGTTCTGTATGCTAGTTCTGTTCCTGACTGTGTGACCCTGCACCTGATTGTTTGAAATTTCATTAAGCTTAGATGCGCTCAGATGAGTGGTTCAAATCACTTTGTAAGAAGTTCTCTCTGTTTTTTATACTCCTCTGCAAATATTTGCATAACCAGGCATGGTCTTGTATTTCTTTCTAATTCTGGATAACAGTTTTGCTTGGTGTCAGGCCTTGCCTAATGAGAAACATCCTTGTTTGAGAAGGATTTCCTCATTTGGAACAACTTTTTGTAATCTGCCACCTAGCTATTTCTAACTTAATCTAATCTTAGAAATATAACAATAGAGTAAAACTTTTCCTAACACACCCAAACATTTACTGGCCTTACATCTTTTACAATATGGATTTTTCCTAGTGTCCTCTGTTCTATAAATTTTGATTAATTTATGTAGAACATTTTCTGTATTCCCTATTTTTTACTGGTTTTAAGCTTTTATTTCAGTTGTTTTGGTATGATTGTATGCATCAATAGTTTATGTAGTTATTTGTGACTATGATCTGCTATTCCCTCTTAAAGCAGGCTGTTATCTAAGGTTGTTAACTCACTGAAAAGTGCTGAAAACTTCAGAATAATAGTAATTTTTTTCTGACGTTTTTTCTTTTTTGCGAATATTGGGATGGGTGTGTTGTTTGTGGTGGAGTGAGGAATACCCAAACCAGGAATTATTTATTTATTCAATTAATGAAAAGTAACCCCCCTCATTTTCCAGCTTGTGATTTAGTTTTTCAGTTCTCAAGTTCTACCTGAATACTTGGAAAATATGTTGCAAAGCAGAAGCATTTGGGGGAAAATAAGCCCCATTCCATTAGGAATTTTTTTCAACCTTTCATGTGTATTTTAAAAGGGTTTTATCAACAGTTCTAGTAACTTTTCTGTTTATTATTTAATAAACAAAAAAAATGGGTTTCTTGAGGTTACTACTGTTATTCACTTTATTTGGTGAAGTTGTTCACTTCCACATTTGAAGTTGCTGTTATGAACTCTGCAGCTTACTGTGTTGCTGTTGGAATAGGAAAAAAAAGTACTTGGAAGTAAAATGTGTGAATCAAGAAACCTGGTGTGCTGTGCTGTATCTATTCAAGTCAGAGAGGAATAAGCACATCAGACTTTCTGTCTTGAAATTGCTTCTGCTTCATCTAAGGTCAGAATTATGAATAACCTGACTTCTGATGACCTGTGTGGTCATAATCTATGAACTGTTTTCTTCTCCTTTCAGAAAGGATAGAAACCTTCATACTCCATACTCAAATTCTTCTGTTGCTCAAACAGATCATCCTACTAGCCAATGACAGTTCCTTGGCAGGTAGCTTATCAGTGTTTTAGGGAATTTCCATTTTGTTCTCCCAATTATTAATTTTATAGATGTCCCCTTTTTGAATTTTCACATAACCTGATAGAAGCGTAGTTGGAAGCTGAAAAGAAGCTGATATTATAAAATTGTTACAATCTGAATTCTTTTCTACATTTCTGTATTTCACCAAGTACATCTGCTTACTCACCTCCGCTTGGACCATTCCATACAATTACACATATGCAGGTAATATGCCATGGTTTGCCTTTCACCTCTCAAATTTATTTGTAATAACCCAGGGCTTTGTCTGTGGTTGGTGCCCTTGTTCTGGGTGAGTGAGCAGCACATTGGTTCAGGCATCACCAACGAAGCAGCCTGTCTGAAACCAGCCCTGCCCTCCTCTTTTCAGGGAGTCCAGGCCACCCCTTATTGGCACCTAACAGTGGCAGCCTGAGCTGGGACTAGACAAAACTAAAGCTGCTACACTTGCACATGCACATACACCAAAGGAGGACCTGGACTACAAGTCAATCACTTTATGCTGTAAAAATTCATCATCCCTCTGGGCTCACTGAACTCTCCTTTGAATTAACCCCATAATGATGACTTTTCTTTAAAATTCACAGAGATCCTTAAGCAAATTACTGCTAAATTTGAACCTATGCCCACAGTCAAGGGAAAATGGTGTGGGAACACATGCTGTGTAGAAATATTTTAGTCTAAAGCCTTCATGGGTTTTGGTAATGATAGACTAGTTAAGGTTCTGTATATCTGAACCTCTGAAGAAGTGACCATTTCTATGAGTCATATTTGTGGAGATAGGAAAAAAACCCATAATTTGTAGGAAATGCCCATTTTATTTCATTTTACCCTCTATCATCCGTAGATTATTCTGCTCTCCAGACCATCTGGAGAGGTGGAGGGGATTTTTCTGATCCATGAATCATCTAAAACAATGTAAGGAAGCATTAACTAGGATTCTAATCCATTTGGCATCTAACTGAGTGTCACAGTCTCAAAACTAACATCTGCTTTCTTCTTGCATGTTTTTTTCCTGAGGGCATGAATTTCTTCTGAGTTGATAGGATGATGGCAAAATGTGAGCAGAAGGATGGGCATGGCTGCTTTCTTACAGTAAGAGTTCTCTGTTGTGTAGGATGTGCGTAGTAACACAACGACTGACGGTGCAAACTTTCTAATAATGAGCACAGGCATCAGAGCTTTGGCTAAAAAAAAAGTATAGAATGAAATTCCTTTCTTCCTTTCCTTTATGACTACATGATATCATCTAAGAGGTAGAGCTGGAGTGTATGCAACAAAACCAAATTGGTCAGTATGGGACTATAAGCTTAGATTATTTCCTATTTGTCCCTACTTTTTACTTTCCGTACAGTCTTCACTGGGTCATAATCGTTGTATAAAGATTTCACTATATGGATCTTTAAAATATTTTTGCAAATAAATGGATAGCCTTTCATGCTGGTATATCTTAACTTAGTTACAAAGCAAACATGATGCTGTACTTACTTTATTATGAAAGGTGAGAGAACAGAACCTTACGTAATTCGAATAAAAATATGTATGTGTGTACTTGGCAGTTGGAAAATGTTGGTGGGGAAAGAAACCCATAATGATTTAATACTTCTTTTTGATGGCTTGCCAGTGAAGCCAAGGAAAGTCACATTGTCAGCTCATCACTCTGAACCCCATGGTACTATCTGAAGTGCTTCATGTATCATTCATTACAGCAGGTAGAGGGACAGTGAAATGTGGTTCACTTTAGCAGTAAAGTCCTTTAGGACTGTTTGGTTAAGTGACTTAATGGCTTATTCTTAATGTTCTTTTCTTTTATCTTGAGACCTTATAACTCAAAATGACCGAAAATAATTCAAATTCTTCTTGGCAGCAGGTCACCTGTGAAATATTTTCTGTCCAACTTTATTACTTTTGAATACAAAATGCCAAGAAAAACGTGTGCATGTCTGGGTATATGAAAAACTTACAAATATATGCATCTTCTATGTACATCTATGTCTCCTTTTTCTCATCTGTATACTTCTGTGGGCATTTACAATGGCAACGAAGAAAAAGTATTTTAAATCAGATAGTCTGTACCTCATTATAATCTGCTCCATCTTAAAAGCACTTTAGTCTTGACATAAGCCACTGATAAGTGACATAAAAGCAGAAACAAAGGGGAATTAGAAGCAGTGGGACTTAATGGGATAGGGAAAGATATAGCAAAGAAAAGATGAAAGCTAGTGAGTATTTGGGGAAAAGAGGGGAATTCAGAGGCAGAAAACTTTGGTCTAAATTTTTGTCTTTTTTTTTTTGTAATACAGAAAATATCTATACCTGTTACACAGAGGAATTTTTAGAAATCATTCAATTGCAGGTACAAATAGAAGAACTTGGAAACATTATTTAAAAATAAAATGCTGTCGGGACTTCTTAGAAGGATAATTGTATTATTTCTCCATACATCTTTTAAATTAAGTTATCAGAAAAAATAAATGAACAGTCAAAATGAAGATTTTATGTAAATAGAATTTGCCGAGGAAAAAAAATCCTTTCTTAGATATCTCTTTTGCACAGATATATAAAAAGTGGCAAGTTCAAGGGTAGTGGTGTCCTGGTCTGTGATCAAGGAAATCAGATTTAATAGTCCCTCTCTGTAAGACTGATTTAACTGTAAGTAGAGCAAAACAGATTAAATACAAATCTGACAAAAGGAAGTAAATCCAAGCAAAACATACATAAGGTGACAAATAGCAAATATCTGATAGGTAACTCTTTTCTGGCTTATGTTTTATGTTTAGCTAAGCAAAATGGAACCTATTTATTAGCATTTTGTGATCTACCTATTAAGCAGTGAATGGGAGAGGTACCAGGCAGCTGCTAGAGACAGAACAGGAGGTACTGCGACACTTTTCAAACTTGACCCAGAGCCTGACTATAAGACTGTTGTTCTCTTCTTGCACTCCTCTCCCTGAAGATATGAAACAGCCTCACAAGTACTAAAGGAACCCTCCTATTTACATTTAAAAAACCTGACCAAAATAAAAACACAATCAATTTTGGTTTGAAGTAGGTCCTCTTGGAGCCTATACATTTCTAACCTTCTATTTAAAAGCGATTAACTAATTTTGATATTAAAAACTTGAACAGAAAGTCTAACAGTGACTCCACAAATGAGTTGAAACATCCTTTTACCTTCTAATTTTTTTCAGTATAGCTATAGAACTGCTTCGGTCTACCTTTAATGGTCATTGTTTACCAAATCTCATTTTGTGTCTTACCTTTCTGGCTTTCTGATACTCTCCTCATGTGTTTATGCTGTTTGCTTTATATTAATTTTTCATTATGTATCCCTAACATTACTTCCTGTATAAATCCTTTCATGGGACAGATTGTTCATTGCAGATTTCAGGAGCTGGTGTACTAGTACCAAAATCTCTTACTGAGAGCTTCATACAATGTAGCCATGTCTGCTCAGGTAAAATATTTCTTGAAAACTTCTTCCAATGTTTTCTTATCCTTAAAGCATCTTTAAACCAGTATTTGTTCTAACCTTGCATTATAACTGCTCCTATGTAAGTTTACTTGGTTTAAGTGAAATAAAACGAAATGTATTGTCATGGCCTCTTATACACATGCACATCCAAAGATGTATCCTTTGAACAGACTGTGGGAACAGGTTTGTGGCACTGTAGTGATGTAGAATGTTAACATGGGGGAGGATTATTTTCTTATTTCTAGGAAAATTGGTGTGACAGGTGATTTCATTTTCTTGGCAGGCAGTTCCTTAGTTATTGTTGAGGCAGTCGCAGAATAATCTTGAATATTTGCTCTTCAGCCAGAGAAGAAAAAAAGGAAGTTGGGCAGAGCAGTCACATTCTCATACACTTCAGGCAAGAGAGATAAATGCCAAGAAAATGGTAAAGTACATAAAGTTAGGGCAGAGTACATAAAGTTAGCCCATAAGAATGAGCACAGAGGTAAGGTTCACAATTAGATACTTTCAAAGTGGAGGTCCATTCCAGGCCAAAGGAAAGTTCTGTACCTCTTGGTTTTAAACCTCCTCTTTGCCAGTGCTCTTTGCAGCCAATCTGGCTGCTTAAACTCAGGCTTTGGGTAGTCCATCGGAAACTCAAGGAGTTTTACTGTTCAGATGCATCTTGTGTGCTTCAATTCTTTGTACCATATGCAACTTCTGTCAAAGGAATCTAGGTGATCAAGGAGAAGAAATGACATTAAAATTATTATTACTATTATTTTTAGCAATATATCCTTATTTTTGATGGCATTAACCACTGTTTCCGTTAATATCATAGTAGCTTCCAGTTTAGTTTTGTCATCTGCCTACAAAGCTGTCTCTTAGTTCATTTATAATGTTGTTGTGTTAGTATAGTCCTTAGGATAACAAATCATAAAATATAGTAGAGTTTGAGTAAAAACGTGTTTGAAGAATCTCTGGAGCTTTTATTAGGGTGTATTAGGTTTGCATGGCAAGGTTTTGGTAGGGGAGGGGTAACGTGTGACTTCTGTGAGAAGCTGGAGGCAATCTCTATCCACGTGGTAGACAAGAATGTGATCAGGAGTAGTCAGCATTGATTCACTAAAGGTAAATCATACTTGACCAATCTAATTGCCTTTTACAATGAAACGACTACGTGGATGGATGAAGGCAGTGAAAATTCATAGCTGTTCAAAGACTTAAATCCTCTCCAGCACTGTGGTCACTTGCGGATGTCAACCCAGCTACTTTTGCAATATCTACTAAAACTGCCCAGAACCTTATCTTCCTGAGCATTTTGCACAGCCTAAAAGAACAAAAAAACCCCAAACCCAAAGCACAAAACCCACAGTGATTTCCCTTGTTGTGACCTTTTCATAGAAATAATCCCAATGAGTAGTTGAGATTGAAGCTGTGAAACTATTTAGATGCTGTGTAGAGATAATCAGTGCCCCTCACCCCACAAGATTTTCTTAATCATGATTTACATCCATGTTTAAAAAACAAAGAATAAGTTTATCTTATACCTAATATATTTTTTTAACTAACATTTAAAGTTCTATGTCCTCTTGTTATTTCTGTATTCTTCCTGGAAACTCGCTAAGGCCTTAAGAGTCTTCAAAAAATTGAATGCAGTAGTTATTTCCCCAATTGACACACATTTTATGGGGAAAGATGTATTTTGGGGGGATTGTGTTTTCCACTTTTATATTTCTTGACTTCCTTGTTGGGATAGGTCTTCTTGATAGGTCTTCTGCATATGCTTTACAGTGCAAAAGAGAATTGGTAAATGTGTTATATTTAAAATTCTTGATATTTTAAAGGAGGATTTTAAGTATTTATCTGAAAATTACATGCTGCTGTTGTGTGTGTGAAATATAGGTTTGGATATTTTTCAAGTGGAAAGCCCTTGAGTTGTAGAAGTGCCTTTTTAACTATCCTGGAAATTTTCATTCCTGTGTAGTAGTAAGATTCCCCTTTTATTTGCCCTTCTTAGGACTCTCCAGTCTGTCAAAAGCTGACGAACATCTGAAGAACCCAGGTTATGCTACTGCCAAGGCAGTAACAGCTGCTGCTGCAGCAGCCAAAACTGCAGCTGTGGTGACTACTTCTGTGCTGAAAATGCTGACATGTCACTGTAGCAGAGCTTGGAGGTTGTGACTTCTGCTGCTACAGTTCAAACAAAGAAAGAATCAATTTTAAGAATTTACTTTTTTTTTTTAACAAATTATATTAGAAGAATATTTCTGTTGTAATTTTCAATGTTCAAAATCCGGAACTGAGCCTACAATTGTCTGCACATGCTTTCTGAATCTCTTTTCTGTATCTGCATTCTGATTCTGAATTGCATTGTCGTATGCAATTTTTCCCTCATTAATCCTGCCTTATTTAGACTCCAGAGTAGAAATGTCAAGGGGTGGAAAGCTGGTTGTGTGAGTAGCAATGGAATTGTCCTTTTAAGTATCACTTTTCAGTAACAACTTCCTGATGTAGTCACTTGCATTTAATTTGATGTGGTTTATTATGTGTCCCTTTTTATTCATCTGTTTGCTAAGTTTAGTGATTTTAGTCATGGAATCATCAAATGGCTTGGATTGAAAGGGACCTTTAAAGATCATCTGGTTCATAGCCTCCAGTGAAGGTCAGAGAGATCTTCCAGTTGACCAGCCCCGTCCAACCTGGCCTTGAACATTTCTAGGTGTGAGGAATTCACAGCCTCTCTGTTCAACCTGTTCCAGTGTTGAACCAATGTAATCATAAAAAATTTCTTACTTACATCTAATCTAAACCTACCCTCTTTAAATTTGAAACCATTAGTCCTTGTCTTTCACTGCAGGCACTGGTAAAAAGTCTCCATCTGTCTTTCTTGAAAGTATTGTAAGGCCACAATAAGGTCTCCCCAGATCCTTCTCTTCTTCATGCTGACTCTCTCCATCTGTCTTCACAGGAAAGGTGTAACAGCCCATTAGTCATTTTCATTCCCCTCCTCTGGCTGGACCTGCTCCAACAGGCTCCTTGTGCTGGGGACCCCCAAACTGGATTGCAGTATTCTGGATGGGCTTTCATGAGAGCGGAGTAGAAGGGGAGAATTATCTCCCTTAACCTGCTAGCCATGCTTTTTTTTATGCAGCTCAGGACATGGTTAGCTTTCTGGGCTGCAAGTTTACACAGAGCTTTACACTGGCTCACATCAAATTTTTCATCCATCAGTATCCCTAAGTCCTTCTCTTCAGCACTGCTTTCAGTCCATTCATCACTCGACCTGTACTGATACTGGTGATTGCCCCAACACAGGCACATATGGCCTCATTGAACCTCGTGAGGTTCACAGTGACCTACTTCTCAAGACTGTGAAAATCTCTCTGGATTGCATCCTTTCCCTCATGACATTTCCTATGCAATCAAGTTTATTTTTAAAAACTACTACTCAGATCTCTTAACATATGAATATCTTTGGAAGCAAGAATATGTGTGTGTCCAAATATGGTGGGTTTAGGCATGGAGGGCCTGTGGCTTGAAAGATACCCAAATATGGGTATCTTTCAAGAAGGAGGAGGGTCATGGGGGCTGAGAGCCCCTTTCCTGGGGTTTGCGACTGCCTGCCATGATTTCCATGCCAGACCCTCTTTTTCTGGGCTTGGGTTTGGATACTTGCTTTTGTTTGGTTGTGGGATTTTTTAAAGATGAGTTTGGCAAACTGAATTTTGAACAGAAGTTTGAGAGACTATAGAGCATGTTGTTAAATTAGATGTAGCAGCCTACTTCAAGAAGGATTCATCCAAAGGTTTTAAAAGAACTGAAATAAAACACTGCTGAACTAATAATTCCAGTAGTTACTGTATCATCTAAGCTAGCCTTGTTGGCAGAGACCTGGAAGATAAGTTATGCAGTATGCATCTGTCATGGCTGAAGCCCAGCCGGCAACTAAAGCACTATGCAGCCACTTGCTCGCTCTCCCACCGGTGGGATGGGGAAGAGAGTCAGAAGAATAAAAGTGAGAAAACTCATGAGTTGAGATAAAGACACTTTAATAGTGTAAACGAAAGTCACGCGCACAAGCAAAACTAAACGTGATTCATTCACCACTTCCAGGTGAATGGCCAGGCAGGTATTCATCTATCTCCAGGAGAGCAAGAAATGGTGACTTGGAAAGGCAAAAAATCATCACTCCAAATCTCCCTCATACCTCCTTCTTCCCTCCACTTTATATACCATGTGGTATGGGATATCCCTTTGGTCAGTTGGGATCAGTTGTCCAGGCTGTGTCCCCTCCTACCTTCCTGTGCACTCCCAGCCTCCTCACTGGTGGGGCAGTGTGAGAAACAGAAAAGCCCTTGAGCCTGTGCAAGCACTGCTCAGCAATAATGAAACCATCTCTGTTATCAACACTGCTTTCAGCAGAAATCCAGAACAGAGACATACTAGCTACTGTGAAGAAAATGGACACTATCCCAGCCAAAACCAAACGCAGCACCTTTTAAAGGAACTCCAGGGACATTCAAGTGGTTCCATCACTACATGTATCTGGATTAATGAATTTACTGTGTGGTCTTCTTGTATACTAATAACTGTCCAGGGGATGAGGGAAAAGTTATGCTTATAAGAGATCATTTTTTTGGCAGGATACATCGGGAATCTGTAATAGCTATTCAGTGTATGCATATATCGTCTGGAAAAGATAAAAATTATTGCAAAAAAGTTATTATACAAAATTATTGAGGGCA